GCAATGTGAACACAGCAGCAACTGAATGCTACCCCAGATAGTCACGCAGTGTGAAAACAACGGCGATACGACGAGTTTGAAAATCGTACAGTGTGAACTCGGCATTAGATGAAATTAACTGAAATGAAAGACATTAAATCTCCCAAGATTTCAGCAGAAGATGATTAAACAGCTCCACAAACAGCATCACCAGCTTCATGCATTACTAACAAATTTGAATTTTTTTGTCATGCATCAAAAAATTTCTTATTAAGAATTAACAGAGATGTTAATGTTTATTGAAAATAACACAATTTGAAGTCACCGTTGTGGAGATAAGTGTTTACTTTAGTTGGGCTCTTGACCCTTGACTGTTTAACATTAGTTTTCTCTGGTTGCTGATACTGTGTTTATGAAACACATTTGTTATGGCAAGAAAAACGAAGCGAAAATATGATGAAGAAGTATTGACCATTTTCATTGATGTCGTCAGTAATGTTGCGTAATTTAGTTTGTGTTATTGATCACAACTGAAGCTTAAAGTTTTATTTCAGTTGATTTCATCTCAGGCTGTGGCTGAAGTCAGTTGTAGTTCTTGTGTTTCTCTTTTCTTCAGTGATTCTGTTTGTTAACAGCAGCTGTTCATCACTAATGCTCAATCAGCACTTAATTAATCACTTAATTATCTCATTAACTTTAACACTGCTTCAGTGTTACTTTAACACTCTTTTAGAGTGGGACCATATATGCTCCGAGCAGTGTTCATTTCACACTCTGGATTTTACTGTGTATTTCTTTAAATGACATACAGGGCACAATCTGTTTGTATTTCTTCCTTTCACAGTTTTTGCTCCAATGGCAGAAGCAGACGAGTTGTGCGATTTGCTGTTTTTATGGCTGAAAAAGAGAAAGCAGTGTACAGAGAAGCTGTTGGCTTTGGCGGAGGAGTTGGAGAATGTACATGAAAAAAGTACCGTTTCTCAAGTGGTCGGATCTGCCACATCCGTGATTGCATTGTCTACAGCAGGAGTCGTCACTTTCCTGACAGGAGGCCTGGCCACCCCTCTTCTGGTTGCCACAACTGTGGGGACGATAGCGGGCGCTGCAGTCGACATCGCTTCCACAGCAATAGAGGCAATCATCTCCGGCAGTACCATGAACGAAGCTAAAAATATCATCCAAGAAGATGAGAAGATTGGAGAGAACATTCAGGAGGCAATAGAAAATCTGAAGAAGAAATGTGGAGCGCAACAAAACGGCGTTCATGGATCTACAGATGCAGGTTGTGAGGTGGCCACTCAAATTATGGGGGCACTGGCCAGACGAAATAACGTAGATGTACCTCTGGACTTTCTCAGAACATTCGTCAGGTCCACATTCTCTCAGAATTTAGGTGGACTGCATGCTGCTGCTGCTGCTGTTCCCCAAATGTTGATTTTATCTGCTGTAACATTATGTTTTCAACTGGGCATCGAAAGCTTCGAGAAAGGTTTGCAGGCCGGTGCCAAAGGACTGGGCAAGAGCGCTGCATCCACTAGTGCGAAAGCTGCTACTAAAGCAGGTTTTAAGGTATTTTAGTTTTTCAATCCATTTGAGAACTGTTGAGAAATATGTATTTTACACAGCATTTCAAATTGATATTAGATTTGACACTTATTTTGTACATGTGTTTTTATCTTTCTAGTTACTTGGCGTGATTGGTTTTGGCATCTCTCTGTACAGCTTGATTTCGAGTTGTGAAGAAATGCTAAAGAGCAATCAGGGCACAAAGGCCAGCCAGGCTCTACGAGATGCAGCCAGGGAAATACGAGAAGCCAGGAGAAACCTAGAAGAACAACTGGATGCAATGAAGTATGATAATTTATGTTACCTTTCTGTTCTGACCACAGTAAAACATCATGTTAAAGGAAAGGTTCACCCAAAGATTATAATTATTATTTTACTCCCTATGGACATGCAAATGTATAACTTTGGCTTTGTGAATGTGGCTAAAGGACAAATACACACAAATATGTCAAAACGCCCATCTTAGTAACTAGCGAGTAATAATGTAAACACGGTCAGTTATGTTTTCACCATGAAATCAAAACTGACTTTTTTTTTGTTATGCTTATTTTAAATCATTTAAGTGTACACTTTTTTTTCTTTCATGTACACAAGCAATTTTTAATCAAAAACATTAACCTGCCTTCTCCTGTGTCTCCGTCCAATAATCAGGCAGTTTTTAGCCCTCCCCTCCAACAACTGAAAAAGATTGCAGCAATTATTGATTAATAAATGAGAATGTGGTGATAAGGCACAGTTTTAGTCACACTCGTTGCCAGATCATCTTCATCTCCAAACTACCCGGCTTGTGTCCCCACTGGCTCTGATTCTTAAACTTTGGAGGAGGAATAATAGAGAATGCATGTTTTTGATTAAATGTTTTGTCAACGTTCTGTATTTGTCAGACACAGCTGTCCCATATGTGTACACAGAATGTCAATGAATGTGAAAGCTGTTTTTTGCTAACTTGAACACCTCAGATTGGCCATTAATGAATTCAACAGACTTGTGTATGGCTACGATGTTTAAAACCCGCAAAAAAAACCCCCCAAAAAAACCTGGGGGGTATTCCAAAAAGCAGGTTATGTGACATACCCGAGTATGTTTGAGGATAAGTGAGCGGATAACCTCAGCTTTCGGTTCCAAAATCGGAGGTTAATTTCAGAGTATGCAAGTAACCATAGTAACTTGCTCTCTGAAGATAACCTGCTCCGGAGGGGGGGTATTCCAAAAAGCAGGTTATGTGACATACCTAGGCATGTTTGAGGATAAGCGAGCGGATAACCTCAGCTTTCGGTTCCAAAATCGGAGGTTACTTTCAGGGTATGTAAGTAACCATAGTAACTTGCTCTCTGAAGATAACCTGCTCCGGAGCAGCTTCTGTTCCAGGATTAGTTCACTTCAGCGCTATCCGCGCACGCGTGACCTACTGACGAGCCTTCAGTGGGCGTGACAGATAGCGCACAACATTATATAATATTACAATATGTAATATAGCCTATTATATATATATGTTAATGATGAAGCGCTAATATAAGTTATAAATAAGGTAATATATTCTAATATGGTTATTATTTATTTTATTTGCATATATAAGTTATCTGTATAAATGATAAAACACTATGACAAGGTAATGTTTAATTTATTATATTATATATATTTATTTATTACATTTTATATTATCATCTCACACATGGATCGGCATTTTCTATAATGTCTAAATTCTAAATCAAAATACATATCTGATATGACTTAATATATAATTAGCATCAAACAAACAATATAATACATATTCTCAAGGATTAAAGATTAAACGGAAAAAAAA